CCCCCCCCCCCCCCCCCTTCCCTCTATTCTTCTTCTGGCTGCTCCCTTCTTCAGAGGTCGCCACAGCAAAATAACTCGTACAAAGACTTGGCAATGGTTTTTATTTTATTTTTATTTTTTATTCCGAATGTCTTTCCTGGCGCTTCCACAGCTCTGAGTGGAGCAGAGAGTTGCCATCTAGGGAGAGCAGATGGTGGGGGTTAATGGCTTTGCTCATGGACCCAGTGTGGAGGAAAATGAGGGTGGAGGCAGGTGTGGTTCACTTTTTCCACCCACTTTTTGATGTCTGTACAGGAAGTCGAACCGGCAACCTTCACAGGCCCACCATCTCTAACCTCTGCACCACCACTCCCCTACATGTTGGTCTGATTGGTAACTCTAAATTGTTCCTAGATGAGAGAGAGAGAGAGAGAGTGAATGGTTGTTTCTCATTTGTCTCCATGTGTCCCTGTGATGGACTGGAGACCTGTCCAGGGTGTCCCCCACCTCTCACGTAGTGACTGCTGGATATGGACACCTGTGATTCGAAAAGGAAGAAGATGGTGAAGATAATGGATGGATTGAGCTTGACATTTGGAATCCTTTCTCCAGAGGTTTTGTCTCCACAGGAAAGATGAAGTCAAAAGTCTGACTTCCTCCGTTCAAAGCGTTCATTATGAGCAGAAACTGCTGCAGGAACAGATGACATTTGGTTGAAGGCTTCAGGAAGTGGAGCTTCACGACATCCGTCGACCTGCTTCACGCCTCCAGCTTAGTTACCCTGAGTTCCTGTTAACCACTACACGGACCGGTTCTGATTCTGCCACTGTTCCTGGTAACTATGGGCTCACTGGAGCTTGTTCTGAAGCTTTATGGGACTGGTTTGTTTCAGTCGGGCAGCAGGAAGTGAATAAAAAAACCTTAGAGAAACGGATCACATCAGGCTGGAGAGTCAAAGATTAACTTTTCGTTCTAAAGCCGGAGCAGCCGTGTGGGGTTTAGTGCGAACAGATTCATGGAGTGTTCAGTCCAGGAACAAGCTCCCTTCATGTCGGACAGAGGTGGAAATTTGTCTCCATGGTGCTGCATTCAAATGACCGGCTCATTCTCTGACCGCAGCGTTTGCCTTCGCTCCATTAGGCGCGCTGCTTCCTGTCTGTAATAACAACAGACTTAATTTATCTACGCAGGCGGGCCCATCCACGTCAGCTTCCCGTCGGGTCTCACCCTGGCTGAAGTCCAGAGGAAAAACCCTCTGGTGGTCCGAGGAGGGCGCTACAGGCCGCCGGACTGCGAGGCCAGGCACAAGACGGCCATCATCATCCCCCACAGGAACCGGGAGCATCACCTGAAGTTCCTTCTCTACTACCTGCACCCGTTCCTGCAGCAGCAGCAGCTTAGCTATGGCATCTACGTCATCCACCAGGTGAGACTGTCAGAACCGAGCCCGGTATTTGACCCTGAGCACACACCGAGGTCCGATTCATGGATCTGAACCAGTTTAAATACAAACGGGTAGACCTGACATCCACCTGGGATCAGCACGTGCTCAGAGCGCCCCCTGGTGGATCCTCTGAGGAGTTAGAGGCTCAAACTGGCGTTCAAAATTTTAATTCATTTTATAGTATTATATACCTGTATAATAATTACGTCAAACTATTAGACATTTTATTTGACGTAATTATTTAAAGATATTTTATTCTCTAAAGATTGGCTGATTTCATGTATCTTATTAAAGGCCTTTTTTAATTTACACAAGTTTAAACAAACGGGACTTTATTCAGTTTTAGTTTCACCCGCAGGAGGATTTTTATACAGACATGACTGTAAATATTTAAAATAATAGAACTTAATTGTTTTAATGTAATTATGTGCTTCAACAACGAGCTTCAGTTCAGATAGTCTTGTTTATATTTTTATCTTTTGGTTTTTCTTTCCGTGCCATGAAAGATGACCTCACTGCAACACTCTGGGGTTTTTGTGTGCGTGATATATTTATTTATTGTTGTTAGTATTATTATTATTATTATTATTATTATTATTATTATTATTATTATTATTATTATTATTATTATTATATTTTTCATTCATGCTGAAAAAAACATGCGCTCTAATGAAACCGGTCCAATTTGTGTCTCTGCTCAGATCATTTTCAGTAAATTTAATTAAATCAGTTCAAAGTTTCCTTCTAAGATCCGGACCTTCTCTTTTCTGTCCGTTTCTCGAACCCGACCCGTCCGCTCCGCAGGCTGGAACCTACACGTTTAACCGGGCCAAGCTGATGAACGTCGGGTTCCGGGAGGCCATGAGGGAGGAGGAATGGGACTGCCTCTTCTTCCACGACGTGGACCTGATCCCCGAGGACAACCGCAACCTGTACACCTGCGACGCCAACCCCAAGCACGCCGCCATCGCCATGGACAAGTTCGGCTACAAGTACGGCTGACGGCCCGCGGGGGGGGGGTGTTCTGCGTCAACGGGCCCACAGAGGACTGACCCGTCTGTTTCTGTCCTCTCCAGGCTTCCGTACAAGATGTACTTTGGAGGGGTGTCTGCTCTGTCGCCACTGCACTACCTGAAGATGAACGGCTTCCCCAACAACTACTGGGGCTGGGGGGGGGAGGACGACGATATCGGAGTCAGGTGAGGCCTGTTTAGAGGTTTTGATCCAAAGTAGAACTCCATTTGAATAATGAAATTCCCTGTGACACTTTTAAATCAGATTCAAACTGAAATGTGGCTTATATGTTGAGAAAACCAAACTGGTTTTGTTGTTTGTTTGTTTGTCCTCAGAGTGTCTCTGGCTGGAATGTTAATCAGTCGGCCGTCACTGAAAGTCGGCCGCTACAAAATGATCAAACACAAACTGGACAAAGGCAACGACGAGAACCCCAAGAGGTAAAAAAAAAAAATGTTACGAGAAAATATGCATTTGGATCTGGATTGGCAGACTGGGGAGGTGGTTCCCCTCTTCAGAAAGTGGGACCGGAGGGTGAGCTCCAGTTACAGGGGCATCACTCTCCTCAGCCTCCCTGGTAAGGTCTACTCATGGGTAATGGAGAAGCGAGTCCATCGTTGGTTGAACCTCAGATCCAGGAGGAACAATGTGGGTTCTGTCCTGGCTGTGGAACACTGGACCAGCTCTTTACCCTCACTAGGGTGCTCGAGGAGTCATGGGAGTTTTCCCATCCAGTCTACGTGCGTTTTGTGGACTTGGAGAAGGCATTTGACCGTGGTGCTCGGGGTACACTGGGGGGTGCTCCGTGAGTATGGGATTGGGGGCCTGTTACTCTTTGCTGTTAGTTCCCTATATAAGCAATGCAGGAGTTTGGTTTGCAAACTGTACGTTGGATCCCTTCAGTGTGGGAGTTGGACTCCGCCAGGGCTTCCTGTTATCTCCGATTCTGTTCATAACTTTTATGGACAGAATTTCTTGGTGCAGCCAGGGGGCGGAGGGTTTCCTGTTCGGTGGCCTCAGGATTCCATCTTCTCTTTGCAGATGATGTGGTCCTGTTGACGTCATTGTGCCGTGATCTCCAGCTCTCACTGGAGCGGTTTGCAGCTGGTTTGAGAATCTGCACCTCCAAATCTGAGGCCTTGATCCTCAGTCCTAAAAGGGTGGATTGTTTTCTTTGGGTCGAGCGTGAGGTTCTGCCTCAAGTGGAGGAGTTCAAGTATCTCGGGGGTTTTGTTCAAGAGTGTGAGAAGAATGGAGCGTGAGATTGACAGACGGATTGGTGCAGCATCTGCAGTACTGTGGACTCTGTGCCAGTCTGTTGTGGTGAAGAGGGAGCTGAGCTGTAAGGTAAAGCTCTCCGTTTACCGGTTGGTCTACGTTCCTACCCTCACCTATGCTCACGAGCTCTGGGTAGTGACAGAAAGAATGAGATTGTGGATACAGGTGGTTGAAATGAGTTTCCTCTGCAGAGTAGCTGGACTCTCCTTTAGAGAGAGTGTGAGAAGTTCAGTTATCAGGAGAGACTGAGTAGAACTGCTACTCCTCCACATCGAGAGGAGCCAGTTGAGGTGCTTTGGGCTTGTCCGACTGGGAGGAGACCCCAGGGAAGACCCAGGACCAGGGCCCAATTTGTAAATCAAACGATGCCGGAACACAAATAGCGGGCGGGGGTCTGTAAAGTCTGTACTTTATATGTTCTTTCTGGAACAGGTCCCTCTTGTAAATGAGTCCCTGTGGCTCAATGAGGCTAGCCTGTATAAATAAAGGTTTGATGAATGAATGAATGAAAACCTGGAAAAGGCTGCCTAATATCTAGCGCTTTGTCACTGGCTTAGAAAAGAGTTGCTCTCAGTCCTCAGTTCAGAGAATCATTCTGGTCACTCCGACGTCGTTTCAAATACTCTGACTGCACGACAAACGGCTTAATGAGCCGAGATCATTCTCGTTTTTGCAGTTCAGATAATTCCTGCAGTGATTCACACATCAGATTGTTCACAGAAGCTCAGGAACTTGTACGTAGCGCAAAACTTGAATTGTTTTTGTGGGTTTTTTAAATATAAAATTGCCCATGACTTTGAACTTTTAGGGGCGGAGATTTTTTTAAGAGCAGAGGCGGAAATGCGAAGCGACAGCTCTTATGTGCTTAGGAAGCTCATTATGTTTTAAAATTAGTGTTTGTAATTATTTTCACATTACATATCCAATATAGGTTTTATTATTTGTTTATTTGTTACGTTATTTCGTAAATTTTTTATTATTAAGCCTGGGAGTTGCCAGATCCAAGCAAACAGTTTCCGGAACGCGCCCTGTCAAAATAAGGGAGTTCCCGGATCCTGTTCCGGCAGGATCAGGGTCAAATTAAGCCCTGCCCAGGACACGCTGGAGAAACGACGTCTTTGTTTGCCTGGGAACAACTTGGAGTCCTCCCAGAACCGCTGGAAGAGGTGGCTGTAGAAAGAGATGTCTGGGCCTCCTGCTCAAGGTGAAGGGAGCTGCAGGGTCATTGGGAGTTCATCGTTCTAGAGTTATATATTTAGAAAAGTATAAATCTTCCCAAAATTAAAAGTCGGAGCATCCATCTGCTGAACAAGCCGGACATTTTGATTTATGAACAGCTCAAATCTGAAGTGTGCAGTTTGAGTTCTGATCCAGTTTACTCATCTGGTCTCTGTTCTCAGGTTCAACATGCTGGCGAAGACGCGTCAGACGTGGAAGACGGACGGGATGAACACTGTGGAGTACGAGATCATCTCCAGGGACTACCTGCCGCTCTACACCAACATCACCGTCAACATCGGCACAGAGTCCGGTCTGCACCCGCCTCCCCACAAGGCTGCAGAGTAACCTGCGGCCAACTCTTCGACGAAAGTCTGCGAGAAACTGTCCGGCGTGGGGAAAAACCTCAGATCTCCTCATGACTGATTCTTCTTCCAAAGGAGCCGCAGACGGACGGAATAAAGTTGGACTCTGTGAGTTTCTGTATCCACGGCAACGTGGTCGCTGCGTAAACCCTGAGAGGCCTTAGAACCGTTTCTTTTCTTTCACTCGGACCTTAATTTGTGTCAAATAACGAGTTTAAAGGAGCAGCAGTTGAAGTAGGGGGCTGTTTGCACATTTTCTCCCATCAGAGGATTTATTCGCCCAATGACGAGTTTCGCTTCAAAACGTGAGGATTTAAGTGGCTTTGACGGTTTGTTTCCGTCTGTTTTCTGCGAAGTTATCGATCAGTCCTCGGCTGTTTTCATGCTAAACGATTTAGCTCTGGGATCAGAAAACTGTACGATGAAAACGAGCCGAAGCTGCAGCTGCTGGAAGATCGGACATCCCGCTGCGTTCAGGATATGTTGAAGGTGAACGCCAACTGATTTCAGCTTCTCACTATTTTAACATGTTTTTGGTTTCTCTGGGTAAATCACTTCCTCCCCCGTTCTCTTCAATTCTCTCCACTCCGACAGCTGATTGTGAAAAAAGTTCTCTTGATCCAGATGAAACCAAAGAGGGCGGAGCATGAAGGATGAGGGATTTCTGCCTCTTTTTTTTTTTTTTTTTTTTTTGAAGTGGAGCTCAGAGGTTCTGAAGGATCATTTTGAAGAGAAATTATTGTGGCCTTAGCCGCTAAAAGTTCCTCTGGATGGCAAATGATCTAATGCAGGTTTGCATTCAGAGGGTTTTTCTGAGCTAATGTGTGTTAATTTAGTTTTTTTTTTTTTTTTGACATGAACGAGCTCGTCGGTCACTTTGTTTCTGGGTTTTGGTGTTTGGATATTTCTGCTCTCCTTAAATCTTCTGCACAGTCCAGAGTGGCCTTATATCAATAATAAACTGATTTTTCAAAATAAAAGCTCCAGTCTGTTTATTTGAGGAAGCGAAGCTTTGATTCCAGGTGAATGACGCTTGTTGCTCTTCAGGCTCAAATTTAGTCCTAGTTTTATATGCTGTGATTTTTTAACTCTTCAGATGTGAATGTTTGCAGGTCCTGAGACAGATTGGCTCAGGTGGCCATGTTTGATTTATTTCTTTTAATTTTTTTTCAGCATTTTGACATTAATCTCAACTTGGAACTGAAATCTGATGAGTGAAGTGTAATTTAGAAAGCTAACAGAAACGGGAAGTGCATGATGTAAACTTTCAACAAGTTGTTTTCATGAAATATAACGGGGAAATCTGAAACATTTGAGGTGTTTTTCTCCATTTATTTAAAGTTCAGGTGCAACAAACAACAAATCAATGGAGAAAATGACTGATGCAGACGAACAGTAATGAGCTGCATTTCCTCATTAAAATTCTCTTGATTATAAAAACATTAAAGAAAATCATGTGGTCCTGCTGGAGGTTTCTTCCTCATGAGGGAGTTTTTCCTTTCCACTGTTGCCTTTGTCGCAGACTCATCCTGAGCAAGCACAAAGTGAAGACTCAAAACAGTCTGCTCCTCAGATAAATAACATTAACTTGCTTTTTGTGAATATAAATGTTTCTGTGCAGTGCCCTGAGATGAATTCAAAAATACTTTATTAATCCCAGAGGGAAATTATATAATTCTTCTGTTGATGCACTGCACAGAAACATTTATATTCACAAAATGTAAATGTACAATTTTAGAATTTTGTGCCTGGAGTCCGGTGGGCATTTTAATGCTATAAATCCCGTGTTCTGCTGGAAGATGTTCAAAATGTCTTCCTTTTGATGGAATGTCTAACCTGCAAATATCACACAAAATTTAAGTGAAGCAGATCATATTTCTCTTTCAGCTGATTAAATGATGCAAATTTGTCATAAATGTGAACATTTTCTATTGAAACTAAGCCCCTCTGTCTCCAGTCCCAGTACGATGCATCTGCCCAAGGCAAAAAAAAAAAGTGATTAAAACATGCAGGTGTTGGTACAGATGTTTGACAGTGCCAAAAAGCTTCAAACCTGGTTCAGGATTTTGACAGAGTTCTTCCACACAAAGCAGTGTCCCAAAAGACTCGGGTTTATTAAATTTAGAAAAAAGCTTAACTAGTAAGGAGGAATCATTAGAGTTGGCTTCCATCTTGGGCCATAGGGGGGTTGTGGGAGTCAAATTATCTATGGCCTCGTCGCCAGAACTCTGGTGTTGAGAACGCCGTATTGTTTTACATTAGTGTTTAGAATATATTTTAGATCTTTTCGCGTACCCTTTGGCATTCGATTAGCGTTCATCTTAGATCCTTATATACAGGTCCTTCTCAAAAAATTAGCATATTGTGATAAAGGTCATTATTTTCCATAATGTAATGATAAAAATGAAACTTTCATATATTTCAGATTCATTGCACACCAACTGAAATATTTCAGGTCTTTAATTGTTTTAATACTGATGATTATGGCATACAGCTCATGAAAACCCAAAATGCCTGTCCCAAAAAATTAGCATATCATGAAAAGGTTCTCTAAACAAGCTATTAACCTAACCATCTGAATCAACGACGTAACTCTAAACACCTGCAAAAGATTCCTGAGGCTTTTAAAAACTCCCAGCCTTGTTCATTACTCAAAACCGCAATCATGGGTAAGACTGCCGACCTGACTGCTGTCCAGAAGGCCATCATTGACACCCTCAAGCAAGAGGGTAAGACACAGAAAGAAATTGCTGAATGAATAGGCTGTTCCCAGAGTGCTGTATCAAGGCACCTCAGTGGGAAGTCTGTGGGAAGGGAAAAGTGTGGCAGAAAACGCTGCACAACGAGAAGAGGTGACCGGACCCTGAGGAGGATTGTGGAGAAGGGCCCATTCCAGACCTTGGGGGACCTGCGGAAGCAGTGGACTGAGTCTGGAGTAGAAACATCCAGAGCCACCGTGCACAGGTGTGTGCAGGAAATGGGCTACAGGTGCCGCATTCCCCAGGTCAAGCCACTCTTGAACAAGAGACTGCGTCAGAAGCATCTCACCTGGGACTGCTGCTGAGTGGTCCAAAGTTATGTTCTCTGATTACAGTAAATTTTGCATTTCCTTTGGAAATCAAGGTCCCAGAGTCTGGAGGAAGAGAGGAGACACAGAATTCACATTGCTTGAGCTCCAGTGTCAAGTTTCCACAGTCACTGGGGTGTCATGTCATCTGCTGGTGTTGGTCCACTGTTTTTTATCAAGGGCAGGGTCAATGCAGCTAGCTATCAGGAGATTTTGGAGCACTTCATGCTTCCATCTGCTGAAAAGCTTTATGGAGATGAAGATTTCATTTTTCAGCACGACCTGGCACCTGCTCACAGTGCCAAAACCACTGGTAAATGGTTTACTGACCATGGTATTACTGTGCTCAATTGGCCTGCCAACTCTCCTGACCTGAACCCCATAGAGAACCTCTGGGATATTGTGAAGAGAAAGTTGAGAGACGCAAGACCCAACACTCTGGATGAGCTTAAGGCCTCTATCGAAGCATCCTGGGCCTCCATAACACCTCAGCAGTGCCACAGGCTGATTGCCTCCATGCCACGCCGCATTGAAGCAGTCATTCATGCAAAAGGATTCCTGACCAAGTATTGAGTGCATAACTGAACATGATTATTTGAAGGTTGGCGTTTTTTGTATTAAAAACACTTGTCTTTCATTGGTGGGATGAAATATGCTAATTTTTTGGGACAGGCATTTTGGGTTTTCATGAGCTGTATGCCATAATCATCAGTATTAAAACAATTAAAGACCTGAAATATTTCAGTTGGTGTGCAATGAATCTGAAATATATGAAAGTTTCATTTTTATCATTACATTATGGAAAATAATGACCTTCATCACAATATGCTAATTTTTTGAGAAGGACCTGTACACCATTTCTTTTTACACTTTATATTTTTGTTATTTTGGGTGCAACTGGGAGCCCGAGTACATAATTTTGTTCCACGTCATGTACCACATGATACGAATGACAATAAACTTGACAGCTTCGTAATAATGCCTGAAGTCTGGCAGGCCCAGATCCCCCTTCATCTTGGACTTCTGTGAACGCCTTTGATTTTATCCACTCTTAGACCAGTTCATTCTGTATCCAGATGTTCTGCCAAAAGAGTTTACTAATTCAAGATGAGTGGGAAATGACTCCTCAGTCTCGCAGGTACACCATTACATCATCAGCATATAAAGTGATGTGTTTCCACTCCTCCCATCTGAAGACCCTTAATCTGAGTATGCTCTTTTATTTTGCAAGTAAGTGGTTCCAATGCAATGGTGAAAAGGTCTGGGGAGATGGCATCCCCGCTGGACTGAGTACAGTAAAGGGAACAGCAATGACTTATCACCTTTAGTCATGTAAGGCTAGCATATATCGGCTCTACCCAGGACATGAACGTTGCACCAAATCCAACTCTGCAATGATTCAAACATGTTAGGCCGCTCAACCTGGTCAAAGTCACATCAAGCAACAGGTTTGCTGCTCCACTTGCATCACTATGATCAGCAAATACCGCATTGAGAAGGTGCCAGGAATAAATCAGACAGGGTGATAGAGGTCAAATGTTTATTTAATCGGGTTGCTAGAATTTTTGTAATTATCAATATTTTGAAGTACAATCAGTCTGAAACCTGGCCAATTTTCAGCTATAGAACCAGGAGCCCTGTAGGGTTGTCCCCAAGCTCAGAGTGTTTATGCCTTAATTTTAAAAGTAGGCATTAACCTGACTACTCAAATTTGTGTGAGCAGCTCAAAAAGAGAACCAAGGAGTTATTTTTGAACAACATCAAGTCTTTGAATCAAGCAGCTTAATAGAAACTTATTAAAAGCAGCAGCCCTGAAAGTATCATCTGATGTACAGTGATAGGAAAAAGAAAATCCACCTTCCAGTTCTGGGGGTTTGTGTATCAGGATTAAATATTTACCATTGTTACAATCTAATTTAAAAGAACAAAAAACACAAATTATTTCATCATTAGTTATAAACTAAAATAAAATAGCTTGGAGTGAAATACTGAATCTTTCTCCATGAAGGGATAAAAACAAATACAGCCATAAGAACGTACAAATTGAAGCTGATGTCTGGAACACATCCAGACTCCATCTGCTCGTGTTCACATGTGAAAAACAGGAACTGTATGTACCCAAAATATTCACAAGTTTCACAGGGCTAGGGTTTCTCTTCAGCATGAGTTCTCATGTGGGTCTTCAACTTTGGCTTACTAGTGAAAAGTTTTTTGCATGTTTCACAAGGATAAGATTTCTGCCCTGTGTGAATTTTCATGTGGGTTGCCAAAGATTTTTTACTAGGAAAACACCCCCCACAGATTTCACAGGGATGCTGCTTCTCTGTGGCATGAGTATTCATGTGGTAAACCAGATTTCTTTTACAAGGAAAACATTTGGCACATTTTTCACAGGGAA